GATATTCGTAATCAGCATGTCGACTAAGCCCTCTAGACCGAACTCCAGCCAAATTCATAATTTTGACTTTCAACCGTACACCTATGGTAACCACACGAGGAGACGTTCTGCGAAAAGAGTGTGATATCTGTAATCAGCATGTAAGATAACCCTTAGAAACGAAATTTGAGCAAGTTTACGGCAAAAAGATTTTGGGGCCCAGATAGCCGGATAGCGCTAAACTAATACTGTATTCGTAAGGGAGCCTCCAGACCGCGCCGGAATCGCGCCGGTTGTCTCTTTTCCAGCCAGTAGCTGCTATCGCGCCGGTTGTCGCCATTGCAGATGAAGCGCATTGTGTCAGATTTTGTCCTTGGAGCGTCGCGAGAGCCTATTGGCACTAAATACTAGGCTTTTCGATTCTTTTGCCAGCGTTCTTTTGTTTCCAAGGTCTTCTTCTTTCAGTAAGTAATTCATTGGAGGTTCTACGATGCTGGAGTAATCGACTCATTGTCAAATATTCAGTCTACCTCTCGCTGTAGAGTTGTTTCTTTAGGGAAAAAAGTGATGAACAGCGTTTTGTCTTTCATTCGTTTCTAGACTATTCTTTTACGGTAGTTGATGGAGTTCGTAGAACAAAGTTTCTTTAAATTTGTTTTTAGTTTTGAAGCTATGCTACTTCTATTAAGGACATCGGTTTGCGAACTTTCCCCGGATGTAAGTGTGAACTTGTTGGAACTTCATGCAGCATTTTATCGTACTCTCTCGTTAACTTTACCATTAAAATCGGGGAACCCCGCAACCCGCCTCCACATAAATCTGGGAGCTCATGAATCTTTGCGGAACGCAATTTTTTTTGCACAGCTTTCGTTTTGATGATATGCTCTGCTGCGTGGTGTGCAGGCAAGGTTTCTCGATGTCTTTTTTGATTTGAGGTTGGTTTACTATGCTGAGTGGACTATATCGCCGCAAAACGCAGTTTTTTGCATTTTCAAATTTTAAAGCTACTCTACTATACTGCTTGAAGGTACACTTACTGATATCAGTTTCGTTTAACTAGTCAAGGTTAGCTATTTTACTATGCTGAAGTAAATAGTATATACCTTGAATATAGAAGGAGAAGGCACCAAGTGACTTTGGAATAGATCGTTAGTCAGCGTAGTGAAGTACCAAAAGCAAAAATAGTACAGAGAATTCGAGTTCTGCAGCTAAATAGCTGCTAAGGCACTATGGAACAACTTCAAAAACAAGGAAGGTACATTCGCAACTCGCTCATCCAGCATAGTAAACCAGTTTCAAAACGAGATAAACGTCGAAAAGGCCTTGCCTTGCAATAGCTCTACAGCGGGATTTAGAATGAAAGGGTTTCGCTCGACAATGAATCAATTTTTCCAGCATCGTAGACGACCGAAAAAAAGGAAAGATCAAATAAACCATATCTGCAATAAATACAGCAAAGAAGAGAACTTTGGAAACAAAAGAGTGATGACAAAGGAATCGAAAAGCCTAGCAGGACAAAATCTGACACATTGCGCTTCAGCTGCAATAGCGGCAACCTACGCGAAAGCAGCTACCGGCTGCAAAAGCGACAAGGCGCGGTCCCAGCGCGGTCTGGAGGCTCCCTAATCAGCATGCTCGATTACCCCCCCCCCTTGTGCCAACTCCCAGCCCCGTAGCTCGAACTTTGCAAAAAAATCGATAAAATCGATAAAACTAGTGGATAATTCTAAAACTAATATTATATTCGTAATGCTCGAATACCCCCCCCCCCCTTGTGCCAACTCCCAGCCCGTAGCTCGAACTTTGCAAAAAAATCGATAAAATCGATAAAACTAGTGGGTAATTCTAAAACTAATATTGTATTCGTAATGCTCGAATACCCCCCCCCCTCTGCCAACTTCCAGCCCTGTAGCTCAAACTTCACAAAAAATCGATAAAAATTGAAAAATCGATATCGATCGATAACGAAAAGTGGCTGTGACATCCGTCCCGCCCAGAAATGCATGTGTGCCACGTTTGGTCCGGATCGGTTCGAAGTGGAATCCCCTATTTGGAACATACGTACAGACAGACATACAGACAGACATACAAACAGACATTCAGTTTTATATAAGATTGATGCAATTGTGTCTGAGACAAGCCTGCTAAAATTTGATGGTTTTAATAGAAAGTCTATACAAAAATTACGATGAGCTATGGAAAATAGAGAAATATTTTGCTGTTTTCTGTAGAGTTTGCTCTAACTCTCCATTACCTGGACTGCTTCCGAGGGTTGTTTTGAAAATTTACAAAGTTGTAAAACTTGACCTTTTTGAAAAGCATGGGTCGCAATTTTTGGTAATTTTTTGAGGGCTCTTTGAATATTATGCAATGTTTTTACAGCTATTAGAAAGAAAATGTAATGCTGCATCGAATGCTATCAAAATTTCTTTCCATGAAGTGTGACGTCTAGTTGAAAAAAGCGACATTACTTTCGGAACGACCTAATATTAGATATGACTACCATTTTTCGGTTAGACAAACAGTTGAACTTTGACACGTTTCATTAACTTTTGAGAAAAAACTGACTTCAAAGAAAAGACAGTGGGCCTCCGACATTGGGGGATCTACCAGCTGGAAGTTGCGGCTTGTACAACTTCTTGCTCCTGTACTTTATGTTTTTTAGTGAAGAGCAGTGGTGATATTTTTACAACTTCTTTTATGTTTATAGCGAAGTAAAAATAGTATGAGCCCTGAAAATCGTACGCACATATCATCCATTTCCTGGCTAAAAGACACGAGCACGCTTTGCGTACATTTGATTAACAAGTTCATAGTGAGTTCCAACGTTTTGATTGATTACTGTAAGGCTTTGGAAAGAACATGTTCAAGGTCTTTGAACAATGCGAGTACGAACATGTTCCTTCACAATCCCTTGCATCAGTTTACCATAACACGTCAAAACACATTCATAAACTTGTTGACCACACGTACGCAAAGCGAGCTCTGTTTTTTAGAACTGCATGCAGTACCATTCCCTCCGGGAAGGGGATCGCAGCTAAACCAGAAAGCTTCATATCCTAAAGCTCCGAACTTCTGGATTACACGCTGTCTACCTAACCGTTAGTACTTCTATCTTGCACTATGAACATCATCCAGCTTTTCGTATGATCCCCTGATGAACCCCGATGGCCAACCGTCTTTTCTTCAAACATTTTTCTTTCTTCAAAGCTAATAAAAAATGCCTCCAAAGTTCTACAAATTATCTAAGCCAACAGTGCTAAGCACGTTGCTGACAAGTATAAATGATGTATTAAAGTCATGTAATTTGCGATGAACCACAAATCGAAAGTCGAGGTTTATCGAAAAATTCGGTTTTTCAAGAAGGGGGATGCTAGTACATGCGGCCCTTAGTCAGAGAATGAATGATACATCCTCGCGGGGGAGGGGAGGGGTCTGAGAGGGGACGCGTCATATCTCGCTACTCTGTCTATTTGCTTTTTTTATTTTTATTTTTTATTTCTATTTTTTTAATTTTTATTCTCTTTCTTTCCATCTTATAAAGTTTCTCATGCCCCTATAGCTGAGTGTAACGGATGACGGAACAGCCATTCGAGCTAAATTTTCCATTGTTTCGTGTGATCTTAGATATTCCTCAAGAAACAACCTCACATTTTCAAAGTCATTTATTTTCTTACAAACTCGATGAAATTGCTTTGAAATTGTATTGGGAGTGACCTACGGCACTGCTAAACTTGTTTATAGTAGAAATCAATGATATCGAAATTCTTGATGAACCGCTGTTCGCGAGCTGAGATTCATCAAAAAAGTCACAACCTATGCAATCTATTTATTTTGTAAGAAACAGCAGTGCGTGCCATAATATCTATCGCATTTTTGCTTTTAATTTCTTCTCAATATTTTGCATGTCGCAAAATGTATGTATGCATGTGCACATGAAAGCTCTAAACCTGCTCTACCAAAATATCGCCTCAGTTTCCTCAACCAGAAATTTGAAAGAGTTCTTCAGTATCGAACTTGGAAAATCAAAGAGGGAAAAAATCCATTTTTGACAACTACATTACCTCGCCCTCCAAATAAGTCAGAATGCGTACGAAACATCTCGAAAAATCTGCTGCGCGTAAGTAAAGGCTACCATATAATCTGCATTAATTCAGAGTGGGTAAAATTTTCAAAGACTACTTTTAGATTTCAATAAAGTCTTCTGACGTCTCTTCAACGTTGACGCTGGGCACCTGAAGGCAGACGAGTGATCCAAAAGAAACAGAAGGGATAGTTTTTGCTACAAAATCATCGTTCATAGCAAATATCATGAAAATGTAAAGGGGCCACACAGCATAGGTACGGGAGACGGCGGACAAAGTCTTGCTCCGCCGACTTGTGAAAAAATGACTTTTCAAAGTTAAGGAAGGGAACAAGCACAAATAATGATAGTACAAACACAAGGGTCTAGTAGGTTGTTTTCTTTTTTGACGACAAATTCTCCAGAACAAAACATCGAATTGGAGAACCGCTCTGACTCCCGATTTTCGAAAATAAATTGTCAAAATTTGAAACGCTGCAAAAAAATGAGAACTTGTTATTCACAGACTGCTCCCATGAGCTGCTCTTTCTAACAGTGTCAAGCCTGCGGTGATCGAGCTCTTTGTGCAAAATATGATTTTTGAGAAAAGACTACGCAAAAACGGCAAAAATGTTATCTGCATTTTCTGCATTTTTCACGAAATGCATAACTTATAGAATGGCTCAATCAGCGCAGACTTGGGGCAGCTTATGTAAGCTATATAACAAAATTTCGAATTTTTTTGCAGCATTTCAGAACTTTGACAATTTATTCAGGGGGAATTGGAAGGCACAGTTGTTTTTCTATTTGAATTTTGATCTCTGGAATACATTTTTTTTGTAAGCAAATACGTTCAATTAGGGAGCAATTAGGAATTTCAAAACGACAGGACTTTCAGTTTGATTGAAAACAAAGTATCTATAACTTACGACTAATCTAGAACAAATTCCCAACTTACGGTTGCTCTGTAGCGCAAAATAGCAAGAGATTGTCAGTATCAAAAACATAACAATCACCATCTACTTTAATGCATGCGAACTTTTTTGTGCTAGCTCTCACGATCTAGAAAATATGTTTATATGCCATGAAAAATTGGAATGGAAAATCCTCACGTTCGAATAGTAAGCCAGCGCATACCCATAATTATTATCATGGTTGTATACAACGGCATCGCTCGTGATGTTCGTTGGTGCTTCATCTTCTATTTTTGCAAGTTCCTCTGTGAGAAAATCAAGAAGATTTCCATCATTCCTAAACTCCTAGACGTCATTTTTAATGTCACTCAATGTTCAGATTCAAACTGCTATGCTGACTGGATGTGGAGACAGATGCAGCCAGATTGACAAATAGGGAAAGTATTGCAAAGAACGCACTTTGTTGCATGGCAAAATGCATTAAAATAGAAAATATTAGATTGCATGAAATAGAAAATATCAGATCGTATCAAAACAGAAAAATATTAGATCAGTGCAAAGAAGAAAGTATAAGTCGAGCACTATGATGCCGAATAAAGACCTTCCAAACCACTGTGAACAAAAAAAGTATGGCTTACTCGGGATTGAAGGGAAACCAAAAGAAACTATAGTCAAGAGCAACATCCACGCCTCCAGGTGTAGGGCATAATTTAGAAGTCATCTCGATTAAGGCTTCTTCGACCTCGCAATCCCACTGCTAAAATACTTGCATATCATTCACTAATCATGTTTTATTGAAATGACTGTTTTGATACGAATATTTAACATGTCAAGCGCGTTGAGACGCTACCATTCAAAATTGAAGGAAATGAGTGTGACACTCGCAAGATCGGCATCATACTTGCACATGGCTGCGCATACGTACACCTCGAAGGGTCATTAGATCAGCAAATGTGGACGCATTTTTACACTTGGCTCACAAGCAATCGTATGACCTCATATTTCTTGTATAGCGCAAAGGTGTAAACAGACTAATATTTATCGGATATGTTTGTAAATGAGCAAAAAAATTTTCTTTAGAAATTTGCCATTACGTGAACAGTACACAAGAAAATGAAGTAATCAAGAGGTTGTATATATACAGGGCGTTGAAAAAATTGTGTATATTATATGATCTCCTTATTTGATCGTTGATATTTTTTTCTTACAGAGACTTTTGCCAACATTTTGTAGAAACCTCCAGCGTACTCCACTATTGTGAGTTGGCTGTTTCAAAGAAAACTGAATTCTAGCAGCAAATGTAGCGGGATTTTAGCCCGCTGATTTTCCTGCTTAGGTTTTTAGGAGTTACTAAAGTTTTTTTTTTTCAAGATGTAAACACAATATCGATACACAATGGAAAAAAAACAGTTGCTGTGGATACGCTTGGCATAAATTATGAACGAAGCATTAAGAAAGTAAAGATGTTCTATTTCAATGAGACATCAACAGCTCCCGTGCTTTCGGCTGCTGCAGGGAGTGATGATCGCACAGAAAAGTACGTTATTGTGAGATTCACATGCGATTTTGGAGGGCAAGGCCCCAGAAGCCGTGCCGCTCTCAGATCGATTGTTAACTTCGGTCAAACGAGCTGTCACAGAAGCCTTCTCCATGATGAAAACGCAAGACTCCCCGTGGTCATATCTGGGACTCCTCAGCTTGTGATGCTATTGCATCTGAACTCCAGGCTCGCACGCAAAGTTCAGTAACTTCCTCAGTGTGAAACGCTGAAGAAAGCTTAATGTCTTCGAGTCTTCTCAGTTTCGACCACATCTTCATACGGAAATCCGACACAGGGACTGCTACGAGTGTTGCGACAAGAGGCACGCATTTTCAACGAAGAAGATCATGATGAAAGCAAAGTACGTAGTGTGTAGGAATCAGATTGTGAAAGTCACGGATTTCTCCAAAATTAATTCAAACAAATGAATACTTGCGTGAAATCATTTTTGGATTTTTCCTTTGTTTTGCTAATAGGTATGCCAACTCAAACAATGCCGGGGCAGGCGGTTCGCAAACTCGCGGTTTTCTGCAAGCTGTCAGCAAGATCTTGGGGCGTGGTCGATCCTTTAGCGAGCGGTACTTGCGTTCTGCCAGCAGGCAGCAATACAAAATTTTCAGCAAGCCTTTTCAAATAATCTCTCTCAGCAAGTGCGGGCCAAACTTTTATGCAGGCGCACGGACTCTTTTTATGCAGTTTTGGGCGTACGCCCAGCAAAGGTGAGACTGTATGGACTCTATGTGGCAGAGGTATCATCGATGGTTTAATTACCCGAGTTTGGGGTACCTTTTTTCATCAAAAGGTACCTAAGCGCTGTGCGGTCGTTCACAAAAGACCGTGCGGCCCTTAACATTTTTGCATATTCCCATGAAAAGTCCACGCAAATGCGGACACTGCGCCGCAACTAAATCATGGAAAACCGTAAACCTTCGCCCAGAAAATGCCTAACATTCTCCCAAATACCTGCAAGCGGGCAGCAAAAAATAGCGAACTATTTTTCGGATGTCCGCTTGTCTGTCGCACGGCCCCTACCCCCCGCGATTCTCTGAGAAGTTACATCATTCTGTTCACCTTCACTGACCAGCCGTAACTTTCATAGCAGAGTCCTGGCTCACCCAACCTTTCAGATTCCGAAATAGTAGAAACAAAAACCTTATCTATACCATTTTCCTAAAGATTGTCTAAATAGAAAAGAAAGGATGTGCGTCCTTATCAAAAATCATGCATTTTTCGAAAAAAAAAAGAATCTTGACTTGGTACTTGCTCTTGATCTACTCCTAAATCAGCAACTATAATACGGCTTATGCTCATTTATCGACCTTCAGTCACAGTACGCTTGAAAAGAAATGCTTGTAGATAATCTTTCTTATTTCCTTGTCATCAGTATACTTGGGTCCGAATCGAATAGAAATTCGATCATTCGAATAAAACATTCGAATATATTCGTATGAAAATTCGATATTCGGAGTTCTTCCATTTTCGAATAATATTCGAAAGTCGAATAATTAAAAAAAAAACAGGGTTTCGAATAAAATTCGTAAACTCGAATAATCAAAAAGCGAGGTTTCGAATATTATTCAAACTCAAATAATCAAAAAACGAGGTTTCGAATATTATTCGAAAACTCGAATAATCAAAAAACGGGGTTTCGAATAGATTTTATTCGAATGTTTTATTCGAATGTTTATTCGAATTCGTATTCGAATGTACTCCGTGTTCAGATTATTCGACTTTGTTGCAGAGCCAACTGCTGAGTATCAAGCTCACTTCGTCCGCGTTATTTTTTTTTGCAAAACTCGGTAACGCATCTTTTGGAACCGTTATACCTTTGAACTGTATGGAGAGTCGCATTCTTCCGACTGCTTGCGACAGTAAAAAAATCATATGTGGATTTTAGTTGATGTAGAAAGTAGAGCAAGCCCTTTGCTTTTATATTGTTGATGCTGATAAGAAATAAAGTTAATTCTAGTGTACATCAGTCTCTTTTAGACCATCTGAAGAGGAATACAGCATAAAAATTTATATCGAATGCTTTTTAGATCGTCCACGATGGGTAAAATATGACTTTTTGCTGCTGTATAGACTAGATGCCGACCGACCGACTTTATCGATTTTTGGGGAAGTTTGAGCTGCGGGGCTGAGAGTTGGTACAAGGGGGTAAGTGAGGGTGCTGATTATGGATAAAAATTTACTTTATAAATTTTATCGATTTTTGGAAAATTTCGAGCTACGAGCTTGGGAGTTGGTACAGGGGGTAAATGAGGATGCTGATTAAAACCGAAATCTATTTTATCGATTTCAGCAATTTTTGGAAAATTTCGAGCTAGTAGTTGGTATAGGGGATACTAGGGCTGATTATGATTGGATCGGCTCTAGCGAGATATGTCGGCAAGTTTGAGATGTGACTGCTTTAGTTATTCGATAAATCATTCGAATATTTATTCGAAATTCGACTTCCAATGTTCGAATATATTTGATATTCATTCATTCGATATATTTGATTTTTTGAATTTATTCGAAATTCATTCATTCGATATTTTTGATTTTCCGAATTTATTCGAAATTCATTCATTCGATATTTTTGATTTTCAGAATTTATTCGATACTAGCTGGCTTGCCCGGCTCCGCCGGGCCTGCCAGCTAGACCCGTGTACGTATGTTCCGAATAGAAATTTTTATCTCTGAACCGATTGGGACCGAACTTTGCACACATACACTTCGGGGCAGGGAGCGTGTCACAGCCCACTTTTCGTTATCGATCGATGACACGCTCCCTGCCCTGAAGTATATGTGTGCCAAGTTTGGTCCCGATCGGTTCAGAAATAAAAATTTGTATTCGGAACATACGTACATACATACAGACATACAGACAGACATACAGACAGACAGACAAACAGACATTCAGCTTTATATATAAGATTCGCTTATTCGAAATTTTTCCTTTTCGAATTTATTCGATATTCATTCATTCGATGAAAAATTCCCGAATTACCCAAGTATAGTCATCAGTGAACCTATTGATTTTGAATGACTTTAACTTGAGTGATGTTGACTGGACAACTTCTAGAACTATGTCATCCTTCTCTTCTCTTATTCATTTCGCTAATTGAGTGTCTGTTGCTCCCACAATTAATCATCCTTCCTACACAGTCTAAAAAAATGGTCTCAAGTATTCGAACACATTCACCTTTGAGTACTACCGATCACAACATTTTATAGTTGTCTTGTCTTGTTCTGGTCAAGGGGATGTCGCTACCTAGTACGTGATATCAAATTGCTGATAGAAGTTCGAATAAATCCATGCTGTCAGGTATGAATTAATTGAACCTTTTTGAAAATTTCTCTTCTGTCGATGAACTTCATAATCAATTTCTGAGAGTGATCTACAATCTCATCTCTCGTTTTGTTCCATATAAACAAATAAACCCTCTCTTTATATTTGTCCTGCACATTATACTTGGGGAAGTTCAAAATTTCTCATGGAATGAATAAATATCAATTCGAAAATCTAAAAATTTCAAAAGAATGAATCCTGAATAAAATATGAAGATTAAAATTATCGAATAATTGAATATCAATGTATTCGAACATTGGAGTCGAATTTCGGTTGAGCATTCGATTAACTTATCGACTAGCTAGACCTCACATATTTGCTAAAGCTGATTCATTCATAATCAGCACCCTCACCCACCTGTGCTTCCACCCCGTAGCTCAAAGTTTCCAAAAAGTCGGCAAAATCGACAAAGTAGATTTTCATTCTTAACGAACACTCCCTTCGTCTTTGTACCATCTCCCAGCCCCGTAGCACAAAGTTTTTAAAAAAATGATAAAGTTGATCAGCTGGCAATTAGCACTTCCTTTACGGTCGCATATTCTGCCAGCGGGCAGCAAAACAGGATTTTGTGCAAGCGCTTGGCAAAAAATTTCTTCAGCGAGCGCTGGCCAAACTTTCAGCAAGCGCTCGGAATCTTATAAGGTATTTTCGAGCATACGCCGAGCACAGGTAAGACTCCGTGTGGCAGAGGTGTTACCGTTGGTTTAATTACTCAAGTTTGAGGTACTTTTTCTCAGCGGAAAGTACGTGGGGGCTGCGCGGTCCTCCACAAAAGACCGTGCGGCCCTCGAAAATTTTGCATCTTCTCGCGGAAAGCTCGCCAGGCGGTCACTGCGCCACTGCGCCGCAGCTAATCTACTATAAGGAAACCGCATCTTTCTTC